TAACCGCTATTTGTGCGAAAGTTGTTATGAACCAAGAGACGAAAGAGAACCCGAGGAACCCGAAAGAGAAAAATGCCGACATTGCGGAGAATATGTTGAGGAGTGCGAATGTGAAGAGGATATTGATAATGGGGATGATGTTGAGTATGAAAGCCCACGCATGGAAAGAGGAGCCGCGAGAATTAAGCGGGGAGAAAGCAGAATAATAAGAAATGCCCGAGCGAGACCAACCGAAAAAGAAAAGGGCAAAAACAGTTTAATTAATAATTAAACAGAGTTTAAAATCTCTTATATGGTAAAGGAAAATTGAGGACTAAACGGGCCACCATTTACAGACTTCACCGAGGAATTAACCGAGGAATGAAAAAAGGCGGGAGGCATAGGATTTAGTTTAAATGTTGCCCGCGATTGGTTAAATATTGGACTAAAAGCCCAAGATGCGGATTTTGCGTATTGGTTAGAGTTGAACGGATGAAGCCCAGAATTAGTTTTGAACCACGGGAACGATAAGGATTTAAGAAAGAAATATAAAAAGTTTGTTAAGAAGCAACCCAAAACTAAAAAACCCAAAATAGTTCATACACCCCACAAGGACCCGCATAATTGCGAAACATGTAATAAAAACAAGTTCTTATCATTTAATCAATGGCAACAGTATCACGGAGAACGCAAGCGAGATTTAAGCGAGCCATGAATTACTATATTGACCCGTCCTTTTTTTGGTTATGAAGTTTATGAGGAAGTATGCGGAGAATGTAAAGTTAAAAGCGTGCCACATTTAAATAGTTGTAGTTGAAGCAAAAAATAGTTATATCATGGTAAAATATTTTGATAAAAACACCCCGCCCATTTACTTCAAAGACCTAACCCCCCAACCGACCCACGGAGATAAGGCCAAAAAAGGAAAATTGTTGGAGGAGTTAAAGAATGTAGTAAAGGAAGGAGACCGCCCGAGCGATGTAAAAAGAAAAGTTAAAGATATTCAGTTAAGAGATAGTATGGGACAAGAACAGACCCAATTATATTATAATTTTGCGTGCGAGTTGTGCGAACAATACCGAAGGCAAGAACACCGAAACTTCGTAAAGTTAGAGGGAATTGGATTAGACCCGAATAAAGTTTATATTGTTTGTGATACTTGTATTGATACAGGAAGGGCGAATGTGATAAAACCGAGGAATGATGATTATGACCCGATACAATGATAACATCTTTTTTATTATACCCCAACGGGGATATAAAAACCCAAAAATTAATTAAATATTATGAGTTTAGTAATAGACATTTGACCGCAATATAAAGATTTATGGGACGAATACCGCGGAGAGTTTATGAATAAAGAAACTTTATTAGGGGAAAGATTGGGGCATGTTTTAGTATCTCATACAGTTTATCAATACTACCGATATAATGACATCTTTATAGTTCAGAATAAGTTTAGGGGGAAATTTTTGGCGTTAATGAAAGCGAAAAGTATTGAGTTTTCACAGAAAAAAACTACCTATGACAACATTTTAGGACAGATAAAAATAAAGGATAAAGACTTATGAAAGACAATAACCACCTCTAAACTTGATATTGATGTTAAGACTTCCCATAGTAAAGTTAACAAGAAAACAGTATCAGACCCGCAGACGACCGAATATTCAACCATACCTCATACGGCAGGAGAGGATATGATTGGCAACACCTTCGGGCGTTCTCAATTAGTAGACCAAAAGAAAACGGACAAGAAAAAATTAACAGTTGAGGAAACCACAGGGCGGAGAGTTGTTGAAGGAGATGCCGTGCGTTATGAGCCGACATGAGATAAACAAGAAGGAGACCGCGACACCACGACCACCATTGAAGGGGATAGAAGTTGGTTAGGGCGAGTTGTCAACATTACCCCGTATCTTGTCTATGATTTTACCGAAATCATTGACGCATTTGCGTTTTTGTTTGTTGGCATGTATTCACCCCCAGGGCGTTTTATTATGACCCGATTGAACCGAAAGAAGTGAGTGCCATATACTACGGAGGAATTGGAGGAGGAAGCCATTGACGAAGGAAAACCCAAGAAAAAGAAAAAAGACGATGACATTGCGGACATATCAGAACAAGAATATAAGAAGTTGAAAGCAGAAGGGAAACCAGTTGCGAAATCTTATTATTTAGAATATATAACCCGTTATAGATTAAGGAAAGAAAAAGAAAAAGCCCCCGTAGGAAGTTTGACGGGACTTGCCATTGATAAACAAAAAGAACTTGCCGACGGACTAATTAAAGGATGAACCGATGACCCAGTTATACCCGATTTAGGACATTATGATAAAACCATGGGCGAAGTGATGGGATACGAACAATTTAAAGAGGAATTGCGGGCGTATATTGTGAACCTGGCCGAGTATTTAAGCCAAGGAATAAGTGAGATGCCCGATGACATGAAAACTATTTTTGTTCTTTTAGGAAAACCAGGAACGGGAAAGAGTTTTATTTGTGATATGTTAAGCCAAGCGACAGGATGATATTTGATAAATATTGATTTAGGAGGACGGAAAGACACCGAGATTTTGGAAGGAACTACCCCCGCCGTTAAGGGGGCGTTTCCCGGACGATTAGCCCAAGGATTTGCCACCGCAAAACAGAGAATATTAATTGTTCTATTAGACGAGTTTGAAAAGATTGCGGGCGAAGGATTAGCGATGATGATGGGAAATGTTTTAGATATTAAGAAAAGTAAGGATTGGCAAGACCAATTTTTAGGGGCCAAAGTTGA